TTGTTTCGTTTTATCTAGTTGTTCTTTTCCTGTGTCAAGTGTTTCTATGGTCTTCGTTGCTTTTATTGAGTTACTCAATTGAATATTCAGCACCTCCTTGTGGGTCTTCGTTTATTTTAATTGAGAACGCTTTTTCAGGGTTTCAGCACCACGGCTTCTTGACTAGGGATAGGGGGAACTAGGTATTTCTTGTCGTGAGGTAAAATGGTTGACTTTGCGGATGCAATCTTGGAGGATCCTTCTCCTAAGGATTTTGCTGAGGTCATTTTTGGAGATACGGTTTCTGGTGACATGCATGGGAATCATTTGCATGGAGGTGAAAAGGAGGTGAGGTTGAAGGGGATTAAGGACAATTCTGGTCCCACTAAAAGGGTTTCGGTGTGGGAGCGCATATCACCTGCAGTTTTGGGTGGGAGTAGTATAACCCATCAAAAGTCGTTTGCTGAAATTGTTGGTGACACTTCTAATCATGATTTGACGTACTACCCGGTTGAGAAAAGTGTGAAACCGAGGATCGAATTTTCTTTGGAAACTACGAGGGACATGGCGAAATCTTTCCAGTCGGTTCTTTATGGATACTTTTTGGGACCTCGTCTTCATTTCCCAATTGTTCTGCATGCGGTTAAAAATGCCTGGGGCAAGTTTGGGCTTATGGATGCAATGGTAAACGACCTTGGGTACTTCTTCTTTCGATTTAATGATAATGGTGGTTGCAATCAAGTGGTTGAGTCGTCCCCCCTCATGATACGTGGGAGGCCTCTTTTTGTCTCAACATGGGATCCTTCAAAGGGACTTACAAAGCCTGAACATACCTCCTGTCCGTTATGGATTAAATTCTATAATATTCCTCTGGTTGCTTTTAATAGAGAGGGCATTAGCCGAATTGCTAGTGCAGTTGGAGTCCCTTTGCGGTTGGATGCTTGTACTGCTAGTGTGATAAAGCATGGGGTCGTACTAATTTTGCTAAAGTTTTGGTGGATGTCTGGGCCGTAGGTGCAATTCAGAAGCAAATTGAAGTTGTCATTCCTTGGCTGTCGGGCGATGGTGAAGATGTGATAAAGGTGGTTTTGGAATATGACTGGGTGCCGTCTCAATGTTCGAAATGTAAAGTTTTTGGCCATAATACGAATTCCTGTCTGAAAGGGGGTACTCTAAAACAAAAGGAGATTGTTAAGCCGCTGCATAATGATGGGTTTATAGAGAAAAAGCGTAAACAAT